TTTTATCACCGTGAATACTCACGGCTTGCCATCCGTCGCGTCTAATGTTTCTCGTGATATCATCCACTTTACGTTTGGTTTCCACAAATATAATGGTTTTATTCTCTTTTTCAGTACCAATCTCTTGAAGTAGTCTATACAGTTTCGAGTCTTTCTCGTACTCGTGACAAACATCAATGATCTGAGTGATGTTGTGATTGGCCGATAGAGTCAAAGAGCCGATATTGAGATGAACATAGTCCGTTAGGAAATCCTCGGCGAGGGCGCGAACTTCTTTAGGCCATGTCGCTGACCACATTAAAACTTGTCTGTCAGGACGTATTTGCTCAATTATTTTTCGTATCTGTGGTTCGAATCCCATGTCTAGCATACGATCTGCTTCATCAAGTACTAGATATGTACATCTGACATGAAAGTAAAATGATATTTAAATAATTGTAAATTTCTTATAATTAGTTTATCAGGGTATATAAAACACTGAAATTTGAAATTATACATACCTACGTAAATTTGTAGTCCCTCTTTCTAAGAAATCTATAAGTCTACCTGGAGTAGCAATGCATATCTCAATGCCTCTCTCCAAATCATGTGCTTGCGGTCCTTTTGGTGCACCACCAAAAATACATGTGTTTCTTACAGCTGCAGTTTCTCCAAAGCAATTAGCTACTTCTTGAATTTGTTGAGCTAATTCTCTAGTTGGAGCTAAGACCAAGACAATTGGACCATCTCCATTACTTAAGCGTGGTTGATGTATGATATGCACAATTGCAGGTAAAATGTACTGAAAAAAAAATTTAAAATATTTTGATATACGCACACACATATATATATATATATATATATTTATATTTATTTATTCAAGTTATATAAAATCTATATTATAAAGCTATTTGCTTTGAAGATAAGATATTTACTATTAAATGTAAGATAATATAACAAAATTGTTCTCATTTGCTACGAAGTATAAATTTCCAATTGTTAAAACATATATACATATATTTCTAATTCTACTCACTCCAAGTGTCTTTCCGGAACCGGTTTGAGCAATTGCAACAAGATCTCTACCACTAAGGGCAATAGGCCATCCTTGTGCTTGAATTGGAGTAGGTTGTGAATATCCTTGTCTACGAATACCCTCCATTACATAGGGCGGAAAATTTCCCTCCTCAAAATATTGTATAGGATTAGGAACATTTTCGCCCTTTACAGATATTTCTGCATTCTCGCGAAATTGACTTACTTCTTCATTAGATCTAAATTCAAAATTAAATTTAATATACACAAACATTTTTTTGTGTTTATTACATTATATATTTAAAATTAAGATACCTATTTCTGACTGCAGGATGCTCTATATAAAAATCTTTGCGTAGTGGTTCCAAAGTACGAAGATCCCAGTTTACTTTTCTTAAACCACCACCAGGTTGCTTTCCCTTTAATCCACCTCGTATATTACTAGCGCTTCCCCTACCAAGTGTAGCAAATCTGCTAGCAATATGTCCACGTCCATTATCGCTGCCTCCTCTACTAGTACCTGTTCTGATAGTGCCACCTCGGCGGCCCCTACCCTGATCTCGATCACGACTAAACCTAAACATTTATGTTTATAAAAAACTATGAATTTTGATAAAAATACAATCAATTTATATATAATAAGATCTGTTCACACACACAATAAATCATAGGCCTTTTTAACTAAATTTGAATAAAGTTAATAAAAATTTCAAAAGTTCTCTATAGCTTGGCCAGTATATAAGTTCTGGTCATTCAAACTACCTTATTATTAGTGTCAAGCATACAATACTGAATATGATTTACATAGTAAATATAATAATTTCTATGCCTTATTTTTTATTACAGACTAAATCAGATTTTGTATTAAAATGTGGCATAAAAATTATCTGGTTATTAGTTATTGTTATATAAGCTATTGAAAAGTAAACCAGTTGAGATTGATTCTTATAAAATAGTAAAAAAAAAGATTTTAAAACTACATATTTCTCTCTCTCTTTCTCTCTGTCTCTGGCTCTACTAGCAGATCATTTTATAAAGAGTAAGTCATTGTCATAGAGAGCGATGCAATTTTAATTGCTATCTTTGTTTTATAGATAGAATAGTCCATTTTATACTTTCAGAGAGAGCTTTATTGGTTTCTCAATAGATATAAAATCAAGCGTGCGATTTTGCGAGCGAATTATCGCGGTAAAAATGAATCGGGAATAATTTGACTGTGTTGCGGTCAGACAAGCAAAAAAAAATATCAATTTCCGAGCGGTCAATATTGCACACAGCTTCCGTTATCGATTAGAGTTCACGAGACGTTGCTCGTACAATAATATGTATTCTTCTACGAAGAATTTTGCGGACATCCCGTATGTCTTAGAAGATGATTGATTGTCGAGAGCAATCATTTCGCATCCCGTACGATATTGTCATTGCATACTTACATCGAAAAGGGCGAATATCTTCCTGCGGGTAACGGACGTAACAGACGATTCTACCGCTGCGGACGGTTCCACGAGAGCCAATGGATGGCTTACAACAGTGTATCTGCGGCGAATCTAAATCGCTTGTAAAATTGGATTCTCAACAACGGATGGATCTCCGCGATTCGGCCGAATTAAAAACTGGTCGATATTACACTCGGAAACTCGAGAACGTTTGCCCGCCGTCGCCGGTAAATCGACGGATCGAAATTAACAGGAGAACTTACGCAAGTAGTTCCGTGTAAACCGTTTCCATGGCGACCGCGGCGGAGTGATACGCGGATACGCGTTCCCTGCCCACTTATTTCCGGCTGAAATCTATATTCGCGATGATCCGCGACGATTCACGATGATTCGCGAGCATGTGATTCGCCGTCAGATCGTGGCGCGGAAAAGATGACGCCAGTAGCGTCGCAGCATCTGTTCAAGCCGGTAAATCTGATAATGTTATCAGATTCAATCGGAATAAGAAAATGACATTGAAATTTAAAAATTAGATGAGAACGTTTCTGAAACGCTCATTTTTCTTTCATATTCGTATAAAATACATATGTATGTATATATAGGACGACAATTGGATACTTCAATTTCGCTGGTACGTGTATGTAAAAAAAAAAAGACTTTTTACTTATGTCGCAGATAAAAATCTCAGTTTAGCGAAATTATATCGGCTTCAAATGTTGAATACGTCAGGAAACCCATCATTATATTTATTGTTATCAAATTATTCGCGCATACATACACGCATACACATGTATATATCCATAAGTTGTACTTTGTTTTTTTTCTATCTTTGTCTATTACTTGACAGGTCGCCTGATTGCGGGACAAAGTCCGCAATAAGCATGTCGAATTGCATCCTGATTGAAATTTGACGATTTATTACACGGATTTGTCATACATGATCGGAACCGCTGCTTCCCGAGTTTGATCCGATGCGAGCCTGTTAATCATCGGCCGATGCTATGAACGGAAGAATGATAAGGTTATCTAAGTGTAGGTTCTTCCACGTGTGCATCATTATTTATTGAAGTAACGATATTCTTGAGTAAAAAGAAATCGCGTGGAACGGATCGAACCAGAGCAAGGACTCTGCTTGACAATGACGGAGCACGAGCAAAATGCTATGTTCGTGCGCCTGATGTCGGCATTATTTTACGGGCTTTCGTCGTTTATGATAACGGTCGTCAACAAAACCGTGCTCACATCGTTCGCCTTTCCGTCCTTCCAAGTATTGGGGATCGGCCAAATGCTGGCGACGATATTGGTGTTGTTCGTCGCCAAGAAACTACGTTACGTCGAGTATCCTAATTTGGAAGTGACGACATTCACCAAGATGTGGCCGTTACCATTGATATACATCGGCAACATGATATTCGGACTAGGCGGCACCAAGCAGTTGAGCTTACCGATGTTTACCGCCCTGAGGAGATTCAGTATCCTCATGACGATGATCGCCGAGTACTATATCCTCGGCATTAAAGCACGCATGTCTGTACAATTGAGCGTTTACACCATGATTCTGGGTGCAGTGGTGGCTGCGCTGAATGATCTCGCTTTCAATCTTGAAGGCTATATTTTTATCTTGTTGAACGATTTTTTCACTGCCGCTAATGGTGTTTACATGAAGAAGAAGTTAGATTCTAAAGAATTAGGAAAGTACGGACTGATGTATTATAATTCTCTGTTCATGCTGGGTCCAACAATCCTGTTGGCCTGGTGGATGGGTGATATAACCTCAGCGTTAGAATTTCCTGATTGGTCGAATCTATTATTTATTTTGCAATTTGTTTTATCATGCATAATGGGCTTTATATTGTTGTATAGCATGCTCCTCTGTACACTGTACAACTCTGCATTGACCACTACTATAATTGGATGCTTGAAGAACATATGTGTAACATATCTCGGTATGGTCATTGGTGGAGATTATATATTTTCATGGCTCAATTTTGTAGGTTTGAATTTAAGTGTAATAGGTAGTTTAGTATATACTTGGGTAACATTTCGTAAGAGGGAAACTCTGCAGCCAAAGTATACTTTGTTGACTGAATCTCAGACCAGTAAAATACAAGCTGTATGATTGTAAATATTCATATTGTACATATCTAACGTGTATCTCTTTGTATAATATAAAGAAGTTATCATCTTTAAGAAGTATGTAACACAGCTAGTGATCTTTATTTAGATACAAGAAAAATGAGTAATGTACGCATTTCTTCATTCTAAGCAAAGATCAAGATGATGACCAATATATTATTAGCCACAATTTTATAAATATCTTTGTTCCTTGTGTGTGTATGTATGTCAGCGCTTTTTAACTTTGGGTAAAGTTACGGAGCGACATGAAATATCACGTATGTACATGAAATCGCTAATCACCTGACTGTAATATGTACCAAAGTAAAAAAGTATTGTTACCAGATAAGTATTACGCTAACATTAGGAAAACGTTCAGGTCAATTGAGGTACAGCATCGCCATAAAGTTAGTTGTAATCTGTATAATCTGTACATATATAACATTATTCTAACGGAAATAAATTTTACCTATTAACTAGAGCACACCATCAAACTTCATTTTCTCCTCACTCGGTTTCAGGCCGTTTTGCGACCGCCTCGGCACGCGAGACATTTCTGGAGGATTATGCCAAGCACCATGTATCCCTATCCCCTCTGCAGCGTGTACTTCTCACGGCGGGCTCGGCGGCAATATCGTTGACGAATCCGTTTCGAGGTGACATGATAGCGTGTCTCGGGGAAACTACCGGTACAAACGCCCTCGTGCATTGTCACCGACAGATGAAGAGTACAACTGAGGGTCAACGTATACTCTCGCAAAAGCCACGCGTAAATACGTCCACCGTCGATCTCTCTTATCTTAGAGATCTGCCACCAGGAACCGTAGGCAGAACGTATCGCGATTTTTTGGACGACAACGTAAGATATGAATTTTATCGTTTGGAAAAAAAAAACGATGCGTAACGGCTCTTTTCTCAACGGGCGACTGTGATGTATGCGTTGCAGAATGTATCGCCCGACGAGAGAACAACGGTGCAATTCGTAGATGATACCGAGCTGGCCTATGTAATGCAACGGTATAGAGAGGTACACGATATCTTTCACGCTATGCTTTTAATGCCTACGACGATGCTAGGGGAGGTGTCAGTTAAATGGGTAGAGGCTCTACAGACGCGCCTGCCGATGTGCATAACCGGTGCGATATTCGGAGCTAGCCGGCTACGTTCTAGGTAAACTAATACTTCAAAAACGCTCTGTATGATGGCTTATAATTATCGCTGGGTAACGCGTCATTATTTTGTATATCGTATAACATTTCAGACAAAGACAATTGTACTTAGATTATCACCTTCCATGGTCTATAAATACGGGATTGAACGCAAAGTTCTTGTTAGGAATCTATTACGAGGAGCGCTGGGAACAGTCTCTCGAGGATTTTCACAGAGAGATGAATATCACACGTCTCGTATAATCAAAATAGCCAATCAAGAGATGAAATTATAGTAATTGTTAATAATGACTGTAAATAACTTGACAATCATCATTTAGTTGAGATAAAACGAAAAATAAAGTTGTGGCAAACGTTCATCTCCTTAAAGTTTAATTTACCAAACCTTTCAATTTTTAATGTTATATAATTTTAAAGAAAGTACTCTATTTTTTCTACATTTGTCGGATAAAATCATCGGATAGATTTGAAAGCAACATACATTATTGATATTACAAATTTGATTTAATTAAACGTTACATCTGTTATAAACATATATAATCTAAAATTGTACGTTTACCATAATCGTTATTATCGTCGTTGTTGTTCCAATTAGCATAATTGTGATTCTCATCTTTTGCTCTCTTGCTCCTTTATTCTTTCTTTTCTTAGTACTAATTGCGTTATCATACACGGGGTGTATCTTAAAATAGAAGACGATCCTTAAAGACATCATTATATCTATTGAATAAAAAATACGCGATCTATCTTATGAAGCGCATGTTCTTTCTGAATTATAATTATTTTTGGCACAAACATTTTCGTTTAGATACATTTTTTTAAATTGGAAGAATTAATGACGCAATAACGCGCGATCCGTAAAGATCGCCTGCGTTTTAAAATACATCCCGTGAATTATTATGTTTTTGAATAAAAACGAATGACTTAGCTTAAGATATATATATATAAGAAAGGATATATTTATATATGAAGAGTATTCCTATTTAAAAATTTTGCGCCATTGCGAAATTTGATTGAAGATTAAACGATCCGCTTTCCTTCTAAGATAGGTAAGCTGAATCGATCAATACGAGTATATTATGATATTATTTCGTAAAATAAGTACATATAAATAGATGAGCAAAACTGATTGTCATTATTCGACGTAATTGAGTATTACGTTCGTTTTATGCCGATCTCATTAATATTATTTTGCTTCGACTACACGCAACGAATTCTATATGACGATATAAAGTATACCCAGCTGTGACAAAATACGATTAAGCCTTGCGCAAAATCTGCACCAAAATTACGACAAACTTTGCTACAAATCTTGGCCATAATCGTAATTTTTCTACGATTGGCTCTGGGTAATAGATATAGAGAAAAAATGGAACAATTTTCTTAAGAGTAAAAACGATAATGATTATCACATATATATAAGCGTAGGAAAGAGAGATATGTGTAAAGTAATAAATTAGTAAATAGATGAATATTCGCGCGCGAAATCACGTATTTCTCTCGAATACTGATTGATTACGGAAATAATCAATGAAAGATAATATCTTCAAAGATTATTCCTCGAATATAATGCGTAGAATATCGTACGAGAAACCTGCGATTATCCGCCGCATTTGAGATTTATCGTTATGTTATTAACCTACACTTATTTATAATCAAAATTAGATAAATCTAGTTGAGCAGTAATATTTTAGTGGCCAGAGAGCATCCCATACCTTGATGTGTTTAGGCATTGACGACTCTTCGACTCGATGTATCGGGTTATCGGCAATTTAAAAGTTCGAGCCATACACGCAAAAGCGATCAAGAAAGCAATCAGGATGCTTCTCAGCTGATTGTAATCGATTTGGTCCGCGTTGCTGCTGCTGCTGATGAGCATGGATCGTTTTCTGTACGCTCTTGTAGAAATGCGTTCGCACAAATTTAATCCAGAGTCAACTTCTTGAGGTAGCAGTGAATCTCTTGGAAACTCGGCCGGTCCTCCGCGCATTTGCACCAACATCGCAGCATCAACCGGTACAAGTCATCCGAGCAAAATACTGGCTGCTCGAGGATCCGCGGACATTTCCTTTTACCGCCGCTGTCCAATGAATGATACCACAGGCCACAATTCTCCAATACTTGTTCCGAGGTCAGATCGGCATAGGGTATGTCTTCGCAGTGCGTCAGAACTTCCCAAATTGTTACACCGTACGACCAAACGTCAGATTGGCAGCTTCGTTTTCCCTTTGTATATAGATAAACAGGAAAAATTATTCTCTTAATTGATTTAAATATTATGAAATTTGTGGATAAATAGTCAAATATTTCAAAACAAGACCGGTTATTCTAATTATAAGACAATTACCGATAAGACTGCTTCCCACGCCATCCAACGTAATGGTATCTTAGTATAACACTCATCAACATAATATTCATTGTCGTATTTACTGCAATACATGGCTTGGTCGGACACTTTAATCAGCAGATCTTTACAGACGATGCAATTCCTGCAAGCATGAATACACATGCAACACACATACGTGAGTTTATTACGAAATATTATATAGTGAATATGTTTTGTTACCTGGCTGCCAGATCGCAATGCGGTACGTTCAAACTCTCGAGATACTTCATACCCGAAGCAATTTGCGTGATGAGATTTAATGAGCACTCGTAACTGCAGAATTCATTATCGCGTAAAAGTCTAACAGAAAAAATATATTCGAAATCTCCAGTCAATTTGTCATGCAGTCTTACCTTGTCGACACGTTGCGGTCATGATTTTTTAGAAAACTGGACAGATCCCCAAGTTCTCCGTATTCGAAAATGGCACTAAAAGGCTCCTCTTCAACGATCGCGATTATCCTGGTGATATTAACGTCGCGAATTTCAGCCAGGATGCGCATGTCGTTCATAAAGTCCTCTCTGATTCGATTTCCGTGCAAATTAAAATTTTATAGAAGTCCATTAAATAAAATAACATTATTTTACCTTAGAGCGTCGACGACACCGCGCCATAAAGACCGGACTATCACTACTTGACGGTTTTGAAGGATACCTAAATCCGGATTTTGTATGCCTTTCGCTTCGCATAAGTGAACCTAAGTAAATTAATATATTTGTATTAAAATTTTTTTTAAAAGTTAGATGCTAAAATAGTTTAAGATTACGATTAAAAAAAACATTTTAAAAAATGTCCTTCAAACGTTTCTTATATATAATGTCTTTGGAAATTTTGTGTGTGTACGTGTGTTGCTCCTTGAATAAATACATACATAGATGAAACTCACCAAACCAAAGTTTCCCTCGCCGAGTTTATCGAGGATTCTTAATCTATGTCGAGAGATACGTGGAACATCGTAAGTCCCGCGTTTGTACGACACGACCGAATCCCGAATGAGTAGCGGTGTGAAGAAACTTACAGTTGGATGCTGATCGCGTCTCTTTATCTATAACATACCGTAACACTGTATCGAGTATTGCATTAACAATCACAAAATTGTTTAAATTACCGTTATACTCGAACATGTCGTGAGCACATTCTTACCGTCAGAATGTCTGTAGCTGCGTAATAACTCTCGTATACCCTTTGATTGATTTTTCCCGTTTGCGAAGAAATCGGTTTTATTGTTGGAATTATACATTCCATTCGCGTTTCGTCCTTAAACTTTTCGTTGTTTTTAGAATCTAAAACACATGCGGGTCAATGATAATGTTACGTAGAAGATAATACATGAGACGTGCACAAGAGAAATACGACGCGCTCGAGTAAATACGAGCCACATTAATTATTCAATAAATATCTATCTTATAATTACAATTTGGTTGATTTAACTAATTAATGTATTTATATTAACGGATATGAAATTAACCATAAGTAAATAAAATTCCATTAAGAAAGGTCCGGGAAGTAGAGGGAAGTTAAAATAAATATAAATTATAGAGTGACAAAAACGTGAGAACCAAATAAATTATTATATTCTAGAATCTAATTATAGGATAATTATTACGCGATTATATACACATTCTGTTATCTTTTAGTTAAAATATAAAATGAAAATAAAAAATATATAGACTATCTCTTTCTCTCTTTCTCTATACACAATTAGATACGATCAATATTAGAGCTAATTATTAATATCATTATCATTAATATATGATTCGTATACATACCAAACTGTTCAGTTTTATAATTGGATCTTCCTTCGCATTTCATATACTGCTCCGAAGATATTTTATCAATTTTCTCGTAAGTGCTACGCTGTCCGTTTGTACCAACATCGCTGAATTTATAATCGTTGTTCGAGGAAATTTTGCTCTTCAATGATAATCTCGATTGCGATAGATTGTTGACCACGATCGGTGTGGGTAATTTGATATCCTTCGTATTGATCGTGATACCCGATGCCGGCGAGCCGCATAATAACGCAGTGTGTTTTTGCAGTAGAGCCACTTTGTTGCGACCCCTTTGTTTCATCAAGAAAATCGTGCAACTCGAGAGAAAGACTATTACGGTTAACGCTGCGCTGATCAATCCGATGTACGTTGATGAATTGTTTACGGGAAAAGCGTCCGGCGTCAGATTTGACTCGTTTAACACCGATGTTGTCTCATTCGATTCAGATATTCCCGTCATTATATGTCCGTGCAGAATATTAATCCCTCTCTCGTCGCCAGTTGCACCTCTAATTTTGTTCTCTATTTGAGTCTCGTCGTTTTCGTCCTTATTTTGTTTGTCTTCGATCTGCTTTATTTTCACGATCTGGTCCTCATTGATCGTTTGAGATATGTTCTCATTATTGTTCGAATATATCCATAATAATCGTTCTAACGCTCTGTCAGTGACGTTTTTTACGTCTGGAACTGGATTACACACACAAGATGATATTTAAATAATTATTTTAAGTTTTTACGAATATATCTAATAATGAAGTTAGAAAGATTACCTGTCTCGAATGTGATTTCGCTCAACAATAACCATTTTGATCTAAGTTTTAATTCTATTTTGACAAATTTGCCGATTCTTGATTGCAAGGGAATAGATATCGAGATGCTGTTTCTGCTTTTGCCATCTTTCTCGTTGCTAGTGTTAGGGATAATGCTCGTCTTAGAGTCATTAAATGTTTGAAACATTTCCGGCGTCGCATGATAATCCTTGCCATCCGATGAAAACCAAAAGTTTGCCATCGAGAACATCTACAAATATTCTTGATATTAAAATAAGTTATAAAAAATAAGTTTGTTAATAAAGCCTATTTCTTGAGTAATCGCGCACCTCGACATTTAGATCGGGTAAATCGGCCACGTGAATCGTACAGTTTTTAAACTTCTGAAAAAGTCGGAACTCAAAGAACAATTCTACATTGTCGCGACCGTGCCATCCGACCCAGTTAGTTATTCTATCGGATTCGAAGATCTCAATTTCGCTGCCAACTATGCCGTCTGTTAATTGTCCTAATCCGTTCAACATTAAATTCTCGATCTCGGTGCCATCGTACGACGTATCTTCGACGTTACATCCATTAGGTCCAATTTTATCAGCTTTAGGCATAGCATAACTAGCGATGTTTTCTGCACAAACAATAAAGAGCGCTCTTTCATTATATCTTCGCGTGTGTATTACGAAGATTGGATTTTTCGTCTTTAAATTACTGACTATATCTCTTTAGATATATTATCTGTAACATCTTCAGATTTCATGACTTTATTATTTTTTTACACAATTTTAATAAAATATAAAAGAGAGAGACGAAAAAAATATATTCGTTTAGAATTACATTAAAATATTATACACTCGCGAGAATAGATCCATATATAAATGATAAACGTATAAGATTAAAAGAATCGCAAACTCACGGTTCCAGATGCAGCCATAAATCTCGACACGCATACACACGGTGCGCGGATGTTGACTGTAAGGAACAAATCTCACTCGACTCGCAACGAACGGTAGATCCAACTTCTGCTTCTCGACTAGATATGTATTACTATTACCACGCAGAATCTGTGTAATATAATTCGAGATCTTAGTTAAATAGTCGATCCTTATCAGTTATTTCGATAGAAGTCGGGCACATATGCATACCTTGTTCCCTCTTAAATCTTTATACTGATGCCATCTTTCATGTCGCCAATATTCCAGAAAAAACGCCTCGGCATATTCCTGACCCTGACCGTTACCGAATCGGCCTTGAGTCTCGGTCCACGTGATAAGATGATCTCTCGTCAAATCAATTTCCAGATATTCGCGTATAGCGCTACTGATTTGAGCTTTCGGACACCAAGCGCCACCGTTCTTCTCCTGTCGTATTCTACGAATATTTATAAATTATCAATTAATTTTCATACGTAATTATTAAATAGGTATTATCGTGTTTTAATCTATGTACCTTGCATTTTGGGGACCTACGGATTTCATCTCGTAACTGGATGATGCCGTGATCGCTTCATCCGGGATTCTTCCTTCTTCCATGCCAAGGGGAAGAATGCATTTTTCTAAAATCATCATTGTTATTATATCTTTGATATTTTATATTTAAGAGTATATGTGATTGTATTTATATCATTTTCAAACAAGAAGATAAATATCATTTATTTCAGCTTTGAAATGCAACTTTGAATCTGCTTTCGTAAGTGTATAAAACGTAAAAATAAAATAAATATAAATAAACTAAACAAGTAAATATAAAATATGTATATGCCTATTATTTATTTTTTCTCTTAGAATTTTGCATTTTTTATTATTTACCATTGTTATTATTATTAATATAATTATAAGTATTAATATAATTATAAGTATTATTAATTATTTATTATTTAGTTTATATATTACAATTAATCTCCAATAAATAAGTAACAAAAGAGCAAAAATCATTTTTATTACTTCTTATAACATTTTTAAAAATTAATTGGGAAAAGTTAATTATTTTGTCAAAAGATATCACATAGATCTCGTGAATGTGGCTTATAAAATATAAAATATGTATAAAAAAATAGGTCACTATACAAAAGGAATATTAATAAGGGAACAATAAAATGATAGACTGAAATGAGCGATGCTTACCGAGAACGTTTCCGAGGGATCCTTTGGTACACCAGGTGAACAGCATTAGAATTTGTATCAAAAGACGTACTGGCTCCATGATATGTTACGATAGCGCAGCGCGTATCGACAATCCGAACGCATTTACAAATCATAATATAGCTCAAAGAAAGCTCTCATCGCGTTCTCTTCCGCAAATATCGCGCGGTAAAAAATACAAAAAAAAGAAAAAGATGTGATTAACGAAATGATAATGTTCACGAGGGTAATGCAGCTTTTCGTTCGCACAGGGTGGGGATGTTGATATTCGGCGTAGCTTGGCCCGGCTGTTGTCTCTGCGCAACAAGTATGGAACGATCAATATGCGTTATTTCGCGGGTGGGCGAAATTCCGCGTATTTCGCTAATCTTCTTTTTTTCTCCCCTAAACGGGCGAGAGCGTTCGCTCTCGATTTTTCCAGGAGAAAGATCAAATTTCATGCACGCTCGTCGAGATTTTTAAGATTCCAATTCCACGCGTACTTTCAATATTCTTACCGTTCGAAAGGGAAATCGCCGATCCTTGGAAGCAGGTCTCATAATTTAAATGAAACACGTGCGTCGCGTTAATAATAATTCTTCTTTCAATTTTCGAGCTTGGTACTTTAACAGTTTTGCTTGACTCTCATTTTCGCGTTCCTCTATCATATGTGCAAAGCGATGTTTTCACGATACATTCCGATGGCCATGCACACTTTCGCAACATCCGCGCAAACAAAAGGCAATTCGCGGCATTACTCGCTACAGCCACCACAATACCGCGGAAGGAAGGACCTTATATGGGGATGATGTGTGATAACGCCAAGGGGTGTGACGTTTCGATAGCCAATGGCGATAGCAGCGGCATTTCACTGCGCAAAATCATAAAATTCCTGATTAAGATACTTTTTCGCAATACGGAAAAAGCCTTTTAATGAATTTTAAATACATTAGTTTTTTTAAATATATTAGTTCAAAAATAAGATATTACTAATTTTATATATATATGTATATATA